TGCACAAACCCCACGTGTGCTCCCACTAGATCCTTGCAAGGCACTCCACGTAAACTGACTCTAACAGCCTTGAGCAAATCACTGAAGTCATTGGTATTTTAGTGTCTTCATCTATAGCTTGTTTCCAGCTTTACCTGCCCTGTCTTGCAGAAACTGGCTGTGTGCCCTTGATGTTCTAGTCACACTGTCTTGTCGCTTTGACAGGCTGACCCTGGCATTGCTTCTAACATCTGGAATCATAGCCAGCGAAGGGATATTGAGGATTGGCCTTGCTTAGTGACGTCTTCATCCCCTAGTGTATAGCTTTGTAGTTCACGTCTAAGTTTGGAATGAGATCTCGGCATACATTTCTTACTTTAAAAATTTAATCTGTTCTGATTTTGCCAGACCGCCATAGAAGAATTAGGGGATTTTGCCCCCTGCGTTTTCCCCATTGATTGGAAGAAAACTTTCTGGGCTTAGTTGTTTCCCAATTGAAATATTCTCTTCTCTATTGCCTTCGACATTTGTGGCTGTCACATTCCTCTTTTTTTATGTGCATAAACTGCTTATTTGATTTGATCTGGTTCTGAATCAAGAAATTGATTCAGAGGACACTCTTCCTTTGGAAATGGTGTTTGTTGAATGAGAGCATTATGCTAACATATGCTGACCCTTAAAACTGCATACGCAGAGGAGAAAAGGGGTTTGCAGTTACTTCTCTTATTTGGAGGGTTGGAGACATGAGATTTTATTCTAATAAAGTGAAGTGTGTTTTCAGCTGGGGCTGGGGCAAGATCAAGATACATTAGGAGGAATTGACATTAAAAGTGCAATATAACAGATGGATGGAAAAATGAATTTTCATCAAGATGATCCATTAGTGTTCTGCAGCCAGTCAGAGGAGGACAATGACCTGGAACAAATCAAGAAGAATGATGCTTGACTTGTGTTTGCTTGTCCTAAAGGGTGACCCATATTCATAATCTTTAATTAGAAATGCATTTGCTTCAGGTTGATTGGACACATCTTTGAGCCATTGTTCTCTTCCTTTTCTGTAGGTTTGCAGAGGTGGGTGACAGAGGTGGTTCGGTGCACAGGATTTGGTTCATCAAATTAGATTAATGCAAACAGAGAAAGCAAGTTTAGTAGAGCGAAGCCTGGCTAAATAAGGGAGTTCTCTGTAAAGGAAGATAATCTCCAAGTTGTGGAGAACTGAGAGACTCCACTGTTACGATTAACCTCAAATAACTTGGACTGACTTTGGCTTCAATATTTAAAGTGGGTCTAACGCAGTCCCTGTTTTCAACCTCAAATTCTCTCTATTTCCTATCAGCTCTCTTGTCTACTCTTCCATTGATCTTTTAAATTAAAAGTACTTAGTTTTTAATGGAAACAGAAAAGGAAAGATAAAGAAATTGTGGACAGAATGTCCTTAACTTATCTTTACAAACAAGGCAGAATATATGGGCCAGTGAGGACACAATGCCAACTTATTTGGGAAAACTTGGAATTTTGTTGAAGATGAATTGCTAGGTTGCTTGCCTGACTGCCAAGAAATAAGCTGTTTGAGATAATTCATTTACCATGTCTGTTGCTTGTACCTATCATTTCCTGGCCTCTGGTTGATGTTAATAATATTAGCTTTTGTGATGGAGGTGGAGAGGAGTGGACAGTTCCCTCTGATGTCACTGAAGCTCATCTAGATTCAGCACAATCATAGCCCATGGATGCATGCTTGGATTAAAACCCCAGTCATCAGTCTTGATCAAATCCCTCATGGACCTTGTCTGTGAACAAAATACCATAGTCACATAGGGACCAGAAGGAAAGGAGCAAGAAAAGTCTGGGGGTGTTTTAATCATATTTTAAACCCTTAAGGATAGCATAATTCAACCAAGGTTGGTATGGAATTAAGACAGGTGAAAAGGACTAAACAAAGCTATCTGAGCTTTAAGAGTTCTCTCTCGAATGAAATAGTCTGTTCTCAATTGGGCCACTATCAAGTGCAAGGGAATGTGCTCTTGTTGCCTTATAACTTGTTCTATATGCCATCATTTCAAGGGAGAATTATTATTACCCCTTCTCCTTTTTTACAAATGAAAAATTGAGCCTCAGATATTATAAGATTGCCCACATTGTCCTAGTCATGGGTAGAGCTCAGATCATAATCTATGAATGTGGGTTCCAACACCCATGTGTCATTTTTCCTTACATACAGCTGGCTATGATGGCAAACTGAGACACTAACCCTAAAACTAGATATTTCTCACAGATATTTCACTATTGGCTCTTAATACTGAGGAGAGCCCATGACCTTTGGAGTTGCAATAACTACATTTATTTCAACTACTCATGAATGTGAATGTGTGTCACTTATATTTTCTGAGGTGCAGTTTTTTTAATTCTGTAAAATGGAAACTATAGATTTATATGCATGGTCTATTTTGAAGAATCAGTGAAGCATATCTGCCAAGATGAGGATTTGCTGGGTAGGGTGGGGACAGTGAGTGGAGGAAAAGACAAAACGAATGTCAAGTTATAAGTTACAGGAGAGAAGGAAGGAGCCAGCTGTAGCAGAGGGCTGATGCCTCTGTGACAGTGGCCTTGGGGTACTGTGAAAGGAGAGAGGCCTTGTTATCTACACTGAGCATCCCAGGTTGGATGAGAGCAGCTCATAGGACACATCAGCATGCCTTGTGTAAAGATAAGGATTATCTCTTACTCACCCACATTAGCATCATATCAGGTTAGGGATTAGTCTGCCTGAATTGAAGGGGCCGGGACACTGACTTGAGAAGCAGTAGCTCTGTGCCCACTCTCCTCTGATGTAAAGACGCTCCAGCTATGACTGAGTATGAAGGAGCAGAGGGGAAAAAAGCCCAAGAGGCTGGGACGGAGGGGCAAGATGGAGGGAGATTCCTATATGCACTTGACTCATTCGTAGAGACTTTTCAAAGGGGCTTCTTGAAATCTGTTAGGTTAGATGCAGGCAATTTGGACTATAACTAGAGAAAATCTCCAGAGCAGAGACTCAAGCAAGCAACCTAGCCTTGCCCTCCATGATGAAAATATGGCTGGTGAAGGAGTGATACTTATTTTTATGCAGAAAACTTAATAATTGAACCCTGAGACCTCTAAAGAATGCTTATAATCCTCTTATTCACCAAAGCAAGATTCTTGGTATTTGTAACTAATCCCAGTTCAGAACACAGAGGAGACTCTTAAGTTCAGCTGTGTGAACAGGTTGCTTGAAAATGATTTAAGCAGAAACCTCTGGGAAAATTTTGAGCATGAAGCCACCTGGACCTGGTGGAAAAGGTTTCACATTTCATGCCTCTGGTTTATTGATGCCCTCTGAAAACTGCTTTGGATACACAGGCTTCTAAGCACCTTGAAGCAAGAGCCACCACTCATTCATCTTTGTGTGTCTCTCAGAATCAAGAGCACAATCAGCAAAGATTGTTTTAGAAAGATGATGCCAGGGTCTTGACAATATTTACCTTTTAGTTGAACCGAAATACAACCAGTCTCTAAATAGGGCTTGGGGTTGCAAGGAACAATTATTAAATGGTTTATAGTTACCTGTCCTCTACATTTTCTTTCTCTATGAATACAGTTCCTTCCATTTCCTGTTACTGAGAGTTTAAAAATAATTTTTCTTATCGTGTGACATTTCAGACCTTTTGTTCTTCACATTTTCAGCTCTGTTTGATAGAAGCGCTCTGCTTCTGAGAAGAGGGAGGATTCACTGCTTCTGAGCCCATGGAACACACTCTGCAATTAAAAGCAAACACATTTCCACTTCAGTCTCAGCCTGTGGGTGTTTTAAGAAGGAGAAAAGAAATCTATTAAAAATCTAAATGTCAAACTCCTTGGGGTTTTGATCTATACATTTCATGTCGAGCAAGTTCCTGGCAGAGCTTGGTCTTGAGGAGCTGATAAGGATGTTTTGCTCCTAAATCATGAAACACAGAGAGGATGGCCTGCTGGGCTGTGAGCAAGAGCAGCCAGGCTCTGGCGGTTCTGGGCTGGGAAGCCGAGGTGGAGGCAGAAGGAGAACATGGATGCTCTTGGGGCAAGTGGGTGGTAGCCAGGAATCAAAGGGCCGAGCAGCACTGTCTTTGGGAGAAAGATGGCACCCGCCGTGCTACCTATGTTAATTTAGTCACTGATCCCAGAAGAGAGAAATTCTACTTTAGTTTCATTCCCTTTTCCCAGCTTGCCTTTAGCCTCTAACTCTTTCTTCACAAGGCAGAGTTGCTCAACGGATTGTTCGGAACTAGGGATCTGTTGGAATTCCCTTTACTAGGAGGTGGTCTCCTCCTTCCTGTTTCGAATCTCTGGGCATATATGCATTGGGCAAGCTCTTCCCCTTCTGGTCCCCAGATATGACAAGACTTGTCCTGGGAGGCTGAAATAAGCTTCCAGGTTTTTGTGTTCCAGTGCCTTGTCTACATGGTAGGGCTGGAATACAAGAATTTGGAATTGGCCAGGTAGAAGGAGGGGTGGAGCTTCCAGCAGCTCCAGTTTGGTACCCAAGCTTCAGCTTTTTGTCATAAGCGAACTTGTGTTTTCTCAAAATTCCTCTGTTTAGGTCCTGACACCATCTACCCCCACCCCAGTAACTCAGAATATGACTAAAATTACAAATAGGGCCTTAATAGAAACAAAAAAGCTAAAATTACATCATTAGGATGGGTCCTAATCCTTCTAACCAGTGTTCTTATAAGAAGAGGAAATTAGAACACAGACAGATACAGAAGAAAGACCATGTGAAGACGTAAGAAGATGGCCACCTACAAGCCAAGGATGGAGGTCACAGAAGAAGCGAATCTGAATCCTGCTGGCACTTTGATGTTGGACTTCTGACTTCCAGAGCTGTGGAGAAATGCACTTGCACTGTTAAAGCCACCCAGCTTATGCATTGTGTTATAGCAGAGTTGGAAAATCTTGATTTTAAATTTTCACTTCCTGAGAAGCCCTCCAGGAAGATGTAAGTATTGAATACTTACCTGGTTCTGAGGAAAAGTTGTATTTTTTTTGCCATTATGGGCTTAAGCTGCTATCTCCTGGGTCAGAGACATCTGGGAGCAAGGAAAAGGATGGATTGGGGCTCTATAGTTCTACTTCAAACTCTGTCTATCATTAGCTGTTGTAAATAATGCCAGATGATTCAGAAATATCACCCCCGGCTTGAAAGCAGATACTAGCAATAAAGGATGCTAAATTTGCAAGAAATAGCTTATCCTTGAGAGGGGTGGTTGGTACTCTGAGGGCAGACAGCAAGGCACAAAAGCACGAGCCTTTCCTTCATTTGGATGCTGCATTCATGGGACCTGAGATTTCCTGAGCTTTGAACTCAAGTTCATCTGGGGTTAATTGATGTTGCTTAACTGTGAGGTCAAGCCTATCTCACACTGCATTTAGTTGCTCATCATAATACATTTAAATATCTCTTCCACACTCTGGAATGTGAACTAATCACAGCCTACAGCTGTCGAAGAACTCAGCTTGAATTCCTCAGCATGTAATGTCCTCAGTCTGTGGTATTAAACTGACGAATGGAGGGAGGCAGCGATGGGCAGACAATAGGGGCATGATAACGGAGAGAGCAGCTCTACATCCCTTAACCCCTGCTGGACCGAGAAGCTTCTGTAAAGCAGTTAGAGATTGGTACAAAGAGGTTCTAGCTCTGTAAGAACATCTCCTCCGTGCTCTTGGTAAGAACCTGTATTGTATGTTTCTTTTTTCTTTTCTTTTCCAGTACCAGGTATCGAATTCCGGTCCTTGAGCTTGCGAGGCAGGTGGCAGAAACACTGAGCTAAATCCCTGGCCCTCTTTTTTGTTTTTTTAAAATTAATTTTATTGGTACATGTTAGGTATACAATATAATGACATTCATCATCGGGAAGTTGCACCTTTATGTAATCTCCCTTGGTTCTTATTTATTGTATGTTTCTTGACAGTCCAAGGTTTAGCATAGTGGACCAATCCAAAGGGCTCCAACTCCAACAAGGGACAAGGTGACAAAACTGGGTTAAATTTGTGACTCAGGAACTTTCAACTGAGTCGCTACAATAAAATCCTGGGATTTTTTTGAGATGTAAGTTTAGTTTTTTGTAAAATGGGAAAACAATCCCGAATTTACAGAGTGGAGGTGAGGATGAAATGAGGACGTACGTGTTTACTAAATGGACAAATGAACAGTGAGTGGCCAGACCCTATGGAAGAGAGCTGCGACCTCCGCTGACAGCCATACGCCCAGAAGACCAATCTCCGTGCTAGAGCAACTAGTCCAGGGGCCATCCTGCTGTAGGCCTGTGTAGCTACGCTGGTATCTCTGGTAAGAATCCAAGAAGCTACACGATAACTCCACTAACCATGTAACCAGAACTTAATCAGTAACTGAGAGCATCCCTCATTTACATCCCTACTTCCAACTTTGGACCAACAGAGAGCCACAAATGAAGCCCCTAACCAATTACATGGGATGTTTTGCTTTGAGCCTACAGCTTCCCCAGACTGGAAAGGCCTCCAATCAGAGAACCTGAACCTTTTTCTCTACTGTGAAGATTTCCCAGCCCTCTGCCTTGCTTTGAATCTCTACTAAATGCAAGTGACCGTGGCTGACTCCCTGCCTATAGCAAACCCTGCTTAAAGAGCCTTTGCTCATTCTCATTTGGATGGTCTTGGACGTTTCTGCAGTGTAAACAGACCTATCATGGTGACTTATATGGTAAGTGTTCCAAGCATGAGAATGCCCATGTTATTTCTTTGATCACCCTTTTAACTTCTACATGTAAAAAATTGGACTTTGTCTGTTTCATCATTTCTGTATTCTAACTTTTGAGAAGATCAGCAATATATTCTTTATCTTTTAACATCTCTTCTAAGGCTTCCTAGGGAGGGGAGGAGTACACAAAGTACAAATCTGGAGCAATTCTTGAGGCCTGTGGAACTCAGCAGCAAATAGATTCTGATGGCAGTGTCTGCCCTTGGACCACACACTATTAGAAAATAATTTACTTTTTTCTCCTCTTAGAGAGATAAAAAAATGATATTCATAAATCCTGCATTGAAAGCCAATCTGTAACTAAGCTGGTCTAGTTATAATCTACTTTTCATTTGACTTCTAAGGAAACAGAATAAATTACTATCTGGTAACATCCTCCTTTGCAATATTTGTTGTGGCAAATGCTTTCTTCACTTCTATTCAGTTAAGCACTGGGAAAGAGAATGTTTTTATGTTAAAACATTGAAGTATCCTTTTAAAAAACAGTGGTGACATTGCCTTTTGTATAAATGTTTCTCCCTACACGCTGTAAAATTTCCTTGGAAGTTTAAAAAGTGCTTATGTACTTGTGAAACTATCCTGGAAATTCCACTGGAATGGGAGAGCTAGTAGATTGCTTATTTATTCTCTGAGAATTGAAGAACTGCAACATTTTGTACTGCATTATTTTGAATAGTTTTTGAAAGAATCCTCTTTGAAACTGTAGTGCAGTCCTAATGGGATAATAAAACTCACATATCTAATGAGTGGAAAGTCCCCTTCAGGTATGAATACAGGAAGCCCAAGCTCCTTCGCAATCACTTTTTTTAAAGCCACAGCCTGTTCCTTTGAATCGAGGCCCTAGAGCCTCCAATGCAAGGTGAATATACCCTGGGGGCATAGCTGGAGCAATATTATTACACCTCTTCCTCTTTTCTTTTTACCTCTTCTTCCCCCTCCCTCTTTTCATCTCCTCTACCTTTTTTTGAAAAGTTGCAGTGAGCAGAGAATGTATAAGTGATGTTATATGTCTGCTCCAGGCAATTGTGTTTCATTTACAAAGTTGAGAGAGGGAAAAAACTAGGAAAATATTTATTTGACTCCATCCCTAAAGAACAGTTGTTGCCAAAGGGGCTTCACTTTGCATTCCTTAGAACAAATCTAATAACAACCCCCATCAGCTCCCTGAAATCACAGGCACGTGAACAACAGAGCTGGGGTAGCCCACCACTCAGACGCAAGTGTAAAATCCGAGGGGCTTGGGCTCAAGTAGAACCCACACAGATATTGTGCGGTTAAACATACTCTTTAGTCTTTCTGGTTTCCAAAAAGTTAATTAATAACTTAATTAAGGAATCAGGAACCTGAACCTAGATTCTCTCCATTGTGACTCATTGATTTTAATTATTTCAAGGACTGGCAGCATCTAGTTAGAAATGGGTGATACAGGGAGATGGGATTTGTCTTGGGGGGCTCCCTACAGCAAAACAAATATGAGTTAGTGATAAATAAAATATTTGACTAATGAGGATAACCAAGTCTGGGTAACTAAATCAAACCCAATATCAAAGTTTCAGATTTTGCCTTCAGAACTAGTTAATTCTTCCATTTACACAACCCTAATTGGAGTATAAAGCTCCCAGAAAGATGTGGGTAAAAAACACTGAAATAGTAGCATAGCCCAATACTTTATCACCACAGCTAAGTTGTTTAGAAAACTGAAATGATCTGTTAGCGTTCCTCTCCTTCTGGCCTGTGAACTCTTTGAATTATGGACCCTGTCTTACTATTGATTCCTCAGTGACCAGCCCAGGGTCTAATGCAAATCAGGTTTTCGGGAGGTATTTGTGCCTTTGGAATGAGCCCATCATCCATTTTTTTTAGATCATTTTATGATAGAAATGATTCATTAAGTGTTCATTTTCTATAGAACTTTCATGTGTGTAACAATAAAAGTATACACCTTCAATAGCTCAGATATGTGCATATTCATGTGACTTCTCCAAATGTTCATATTTTGACTTGCTCTGAGTGATACGAGTTATTTCCAACTTTCCCAAGAGCTTAAAACACATGAAAGAAGGTACGTTAGACTCAAGGGTGAAGGGGCATTAAATAAAAATAAAATTGGTTCATGGAAGGCAGAGGCTGAATTTACACCTGGTGATACATTTGTAAACACTATGGAAAGGGGAGGCTCAGATCTTTTTGTAAGTATTCCAGAATCATGGACTTCATTCTCCAGCAGGTGCTAAGATGGAGGTAGAAGCACTGAAGGCTCTAGTGAATGGTGTACCTTCTAGCCCCTCTTTTGGAATATAGTCCTCTGGCAGGCATTCTGCTCCTCTATCTCGACATGTCCACATCTGTGAGATTTTTGGTCCCTTCCTCTGAAGATGTAGGTATTTCAGACTCATTCAGTTTGATCCATTGCTTCTTCCAGGATTCCAGAAGCTGTCCCAGTAGTGATTTTGCATTAACTCCTGGGGTTCTCTGATGAGAATGTCCAATCCCATCAACTAACCTTGATCTAGTCTTATTTTACAGTGACTCTTGGTTAAGCATCTTTAGATTAGTCTCACAGACATTTCCCCAGCCTCTATTTATTTATGTTGGCTGATTCTTGCAGTTCCTTGGGGATATTGTCTTTTCATGTTGAATCCACACAAGTGACTACTCTTCCCCCTACACTGCCAGCACTCTGCTCCTGTAGTGAGACACACAAAGGTCTCTCCCCATAAACGAGAAGTTCCTCTTTTAGTAATTGCCACATTCTCTTCTGGCTGTCAGGTTTGCTTTTTTATCTGATCCTGCTTACAGACCCAATGCCCTAAGACGATGTGGCAGCTACTGAAACTTCTTGATGGTGGGGAGTGACCTGTGTGTGTCCTGCAGGAGGAGCAGAGTTCCAGCACCATAAAGGACAGCAGTGATCAGCTGTGTAGATTCTAAAGGTTAGAGAGGCCCAGAGAGTCAAAGTCTATGGTGACATCTACCCAGATGTTCCTATCACATGTGCCATGTTCTGCTTCTCCCAAGTAAGGCTGTGATGGTTGAGGTAGATTGCCAACATAATTGGTCTTGGGACTCTTCAGAGAATTGATGGAGCACACTTCTCCGTGGGTCAGAGGAGCATGACCTTGGGGTCTATTGTCTGGCCCCTCACTCCTTCCTCTTTTGTACAGTTCCCCTGCTCTACTTCCTGATTACCGTGAACTATAATATATCTTTGCTCCACCATGCTTTTCCACCATGATGTTTCTGCTTTGGAGCCAGCTGATCTTCGACTGGATCCCCTGACGCTATGAGCTAAATTAAACCTCCACTTCAAATTGTGGGTGTCAGAGAGTGTGTCTCACAGATGAGATGGCCAACTCATAAAATGGCCCTGACCTTGCATGTCAGATCTTCCTAAGTAAAACATCAGTATTCTTTGGCAACAAGTCACTGCAGCCTCTAAATCCTGAGCTTAATTTTCAGCTTCTCCATTTACAAATTCCATGAGATGACAACATCTCTGTAAGCTTCCAGACATGTCTCTGAATTTTCATTCATGGTCCTTATATTTTTATTATTTGTCTATAGGGCATCAATGCAACTAGTAACAACCGTCCAATCTAGTATCTTCAAATTCACCTTTTCCTAACTATGCTACATATCTGAATCCTTGTTTTGACCAGTGCAACCATGTTTACCAGCTTATTGTGAGTTTTAGCAGTTGGGCCACTACCCTGTGCCCTTGTATCTCCTACTGCCACAGATAGGGGCCATTTACTAGCTGAGCAGCGAGTGGCTGCAGATGAAATCCCATCTCATCAACCCTCCTTCTCAGACCTCTCTTGACACTTGCTGCTGCTAGATGCAGTCTTTGAGCAGAAAGCACTGGAATGGAGCGTAAACACAAAGTCTATTTGGGAATAAAACCTATGAAGGGAAAGGTGAAAACAGCAGGGTCAGAAAAGGAAAGTTGGCTCAGTGTCAGCCAAATGGGGGCCTCCAGAGTAAAGATGGCTTTTCTTAGTCACTTCTCTCATCACCAGGACAAAATACCTGATACCCCAATTTAAAGGAGGAAAGATTTATTTTGGATCAAATTTCAGTTCATACTTGATGGGTTTCTAGTCAGGGTGGCATGGCAGAGGGCATGATGGAAGAAAATCTGCTCATATCACAGTCTTGTTGCCTGGAAAGCAGAGAGTAGAAGGGGGAGCTGGGAAAGGGGATGCAGCCTCCTAGGCCACGCCCTCCAGGGGCCACCTCTTGGACCAGACCCCACCTCCTAAGAGCAAGTCACAATCCAGTCGCTTTCCAAACGCAGGAGGCATTAGGGACCATTACAGCTTTAAACTATAACAGCCTATAAAGGGTGTCTCACATTTGGCTAAGAAAGACCATAGCCTTATCCAGTCAGTGCCTGGAAGAAAGCTCAAGAAAAGCCAAAAAAGATGGCTCAAAAGATGATGCAAGGACACCATAGCTGGAGGCAGAGAGTTTCATCTGAGCAGTGGATTTGAGCTGTACATCGTGGACTTGGTCTTGACTGTCATCCTTTTAGGAAATGTGATGAACTTTTAATAAACGAGGCATTTTCTGCAGTATCACGCATGTAGCATGGGTTTCCTAATGTAATAGTTTAGCCACATAGCAAGACTGGTTTCCACAAGACTGAAAAATAAATAACACATTTCATACAATGATCCTGCTTACTCATTTTTATAATTTCAATATTAGGTGCAATTTATTAAAGCATGCCTTGAGCTAGGGTCTGAGCATAGGACACCATTCTTATTCTCACAGTGGAAGTATTACAATGGAAAACATGAATAGAAACACAATTAGCATTACAAAGACTCGATACTGCAATCTAAATCTTTTCCCTACACACCCCTTTGACTTTGGGCAAGTTACTTAACTACCTTGAACTTTAATTTGTTATTCTTCATGAAGTGTTACCTATGGTATGT